GGAGTGAGACTCCAACTCAAAAAAAAAAAAAAGGAAATCACGTTTCAGAATTATACCCAGGGCCCAGCTCATCAAACTCCCAGTCTCTGGCTTTTCCCCCTGTGGTCCTATCTTCCCAGTGTGGTGACCAGAGGTTTGAAATGCTCTATTGAACAGGTCTTGGGGATTAGGGAATAGTCTCCAGAGGATGGAAGGCCAAGATAAATTTTCAGAGGAACTGCAATGACCACCAGAGAGTGAATCCCATTTCTTGACAAGACGGATGATCCATAACATAAAAAGAGTGTGAGACAAAAGGAAGGCAGCACCTACATGATGCATACTCCACATAGGTTTGGAAAGAACTCAGAGACATTTGGAAACTGTAAGACAAAAGTCATCCTACAAAATGTTGCAACTTGATGAGTCGTTAGTTGTCAGACTGGCAGAAAAGAATGACATCATTTGTAGGGTGCGTACATGTAGAGCTGACTTCAAATTGCTGCTGATTGGCATGGTGGAAAGTGTCACTGATACCTCTAGGAGCAGTCACCATTAAAGGGACAGGCCATGAGTGGGGACACCGGCTGGTGGCACATAGCCATTAGAGGCATAAAGTCAAGGGACCGTCTTGGAAGGGAGTTGAGGGAAATGAATCAAAATCTTTAAACATCTGTATGCCCCTGCATTCTACTTGGAAATAGTCATTCATGTACACAAAGATGTATTCATTAGGATGAGCATTTCAACATTTTACATATATGTATACATAGTATAAAAAACATGAGAATAAGTAATTGTGTATCTAAGTGGTAGAATATACTGTGATCATAAAATAACAATATTTAGCCAAATGAAAAAGTTATTGGACAATATCAAGATCATGCAAAACATTATGGAAGGTAGTGCATAATCACATCTTTGGACAAAAAGAAATTGGCAGTCATACAGTGGTTATGATTTAGCTGATGATTAAAAGGTATTTTTTATTTCTTTTTTTTTTTTTGAGTTGGAGTCTCACTCTTGTCACCCAGGCTGGAGGGCAGTGGCATGCTCACGGCCAACTGCAGCTTCAACCTGCTGAGCTTAGGCAGTTCTTCCGCTTCAGTTTTCCATGTAACTGGAACTACAGATGCACACCAACGTGCCTGGCTAGTTTTTGTGATTTATTGTAGAGACAAGGTCTCACCAAGTTGCCCAGGCTGCTCTCGAACCCTGGGCTCAGTCAATCCTCTTGCCTCAGTCTCCTAATGTGCTGAGATTACAGGCTGAGCCACCATACCTGGCTTATTTTATTCTTTGAATATCCCTGTACTCTAAACATTTTCTATTTTATAAACTGAAATATTTATTTTTTAACAATTCTTTACAAGTTTTTTTAATTAATTAATT